AGAACCATCATAGAAATATGTTTACGATTCTAATGAAATAACAATCATAATGAGTGTTAATTTTTGAAAGTCTCAACTATCCTGATTTTCGATCTCTTCTAGGAAAAAAATCATTCGAATAAATATTTTTAACTTTAGTTGAGATCGGAATAGGAGTTTTTGATTTTGTTAGAAAAGATATTTTCAAGATAGTTATCACTTCTTTTTGTGAAAATCAATAAATGAATTTTTTGTGAGTGCAACGATATGAAGACATGGGAATGTTGAATGCCTGGTTAAGTTTCAATATTAGATAAAATAATATTTTCATCATCAGTTAGAAAATTTTGTGAATTTTTTTAATAGTCTAAACATCGGGATATTGAATGATTGGTGCAGTTTTAATAATAGATAAAATAAGTTTTTTCATTTTCAATGAGAAAATTTCGTCAAGGCCGAAAGAGAAGATGAAATTTTACAATTATTTTTATTCTGTTTCAAAATAGCTTTTCCAACCGAATCTTTATAACTTTTCTCGAGCAGATCATTGAAAAAATGATAGAAAATTGTAGATTTATTCTCAGTCTGTTTCAGAACAGCTTTTATTATAACCAAATCCTTATAATTTTTTCAGAGCATGTGATTGGAAGACGAACAGAGATAGAGAAGATTGTGCAAATTGTTTTTAATCTGTATCAAACTAATGTCGGTTTTTTTTTAAATAGCCTCCACCATTTTTTGAATAACTCTCGATCGCTTATAGCTATCGAGCTCGGATTTTCACAATTAGACAGAGCAAGTGAGGAAACATCTATCTATATAAAATTCATAAGGTTCGAATAAGTTTTTCATGAATGTTTTTGAACGAACATCTTTTTCGTTGTCCATTTCCATGAGTTTTCATAGCAATCTACATTCAAATTATACCAAATTCTGGTCCAAAACGACCATTATTCCTGGTAAAATTTTCGTATTTTAAAACTATAGCTTTGAAGTATTGGTTCAAATAAACTATAGAGAGATTTTAAAATTTTATCAGAAATAAAGGTCATTTTGGACCAGAATTTGGTATAATTTAAGTGTAGATTGCTATGAAAACTCATGAAAGTGGACAATGAAAAAGATGTTCATTCAAAAACATTCATGAAAAACTTATTCGAACCTTATGAATTTTATATAGATAGATGTTTCCTCACTTGCTCTGTCTAATTGTGAAAATCCAAGCTCGATAGCTATAAGCGATCGAGAGTTATTCAAAAAATGGTGGAGGCTATTTTAAAAAAATTCGACATTAGCTTTCATAACCGTACCACTATGATATGTCTAGAACAGGAGGAGCAACTGTACAAGTATTCTCAATCTACTATGGAATTAGCTCTTACAACTAAGTATTTGTGAAAGATTTTGTCTATTATTGAAACATAACGAAAAAAATCTGCACATTAAGATGTTTTGTTTCTTGTGTTTAACAGAACCTTATTTAGTGAACTTCTGGCCAAATAAATTATAAACAAAACAAATTAATTCGTAATTTTGTGCCTAATTTAAAACGAATTCTGCCTAAGTTTTATTTTGCCTGTGACATATACAAAAGGAACGACTCACAGAAATAAGAGAAAAAAAGACATTCCATAGAGAGAAACAATGTCGACGAAAGCATGAAAGAGAAGAACATATTGGAATCTTCAATACCCACCGATTGTGTTACGTAACAAGATCTAACTAAAGGATCATGTAAGATTCTTGCAATATGATCTTCTGGTTTTGGGATTTTCTTACAGAATTTTATAGATTTCCGTAAGATCCTATAGCAGCCTAATGGTAGAAGCTTATAGAATCTTGCAAAAATCCTATAGGATCCTACGGTAGGATTGTTTTATCTGGATATAGACGAGTTTCCACAAATCAACCACGAAAGAAAATAAAACACTTGACGCACAAAACTTATCCAATTGTTAATGTACGGTTTATACTGAGATTATCACCTTTTTTCCAAACAATGTTTCAAGTAAAAGCTTCTATACCAAAATACCTTCGATCAGATATCATCTGTTCTATAAAATGTAGTAACTGAGATCAAAGTTATATGGGAAAAACTGAGTATCACACTACCAGAAGATTATGTGAACCTGAAACTGTTAAAGAAGCGTTCGGTGAATATGATAAATATACTTTAGAAGGTGAAACACTAGAAGAAGACTCAAATTCACAGCCTAAAGACTTGATTGGACTTGCACCGAAGGGTTGTCGATGAGATATCGAATGTCTTCGCACGCATTTTAGTAGAAAAGACTGAATGAAAAGTAGTTGCTAACGTTCATTTACAAGAGAATGTTCAGAACTGATAAATCGATTTTTAAATTTTAGGCATGCCAATTTGCAGAGTTTGTTGAGTTATTAACTGATATAATAATCACTCGAGCCAACAATGCAGCTGTAGAGTAAATTTCTGATAATCAAAGTTTGCATTAACCTGTCCATACCCTACAGTGGTCCTATAGAGGCTCTACAGGGGCTTATAAGGTCTTGTAGGGACCCTATAGGTGGCTTATAGTGTCCTATTGAGACCCTATGGAGTACCCATAGGGTTTTATAAGCCCCTATAGAGACCCTTTAAAGGCCCTATAGGACCTCTATAACACCACTATAGGGTATGGACAGTTTAATGCAAACTTTGATTATCAGAAATTTACTCTACAGCGGCATTGTTGGCTCGAATGATTATTATATCAGTTAGTAACTCAACAAGCTCTAGAAATTGGGATGACTAAAAGTTAAAAAAGAAGTTATCAGTTCTGAATGTTCTCTGGTTAGTCCCAATGTTGAATGTGAACTCGTTTGACTATCATAACTACCAGTGCAATTTCAGAGTATTAATATTGAATTTGAATAAATGACTCTCATCCTTACCCTCTGATGTCCATGCAGCAGCATAAACGAAAACAATATGACTTCTAGTGAAAAATGGTTTGTTTGTGGAAACGCGCAATTATAATATGACTAACATTGTACGAAAAGTTTTATTTTATAGAAAGTTTGAATCAAAATCGATGTATGCCTATCCCGAATTGAGAAATAAAAAACGACATAAATATGAAAAAGATTTAGTTTAAATAAGAGTATTGTAAAGCAAATCTTTGACATTTGTTTCGGCACAACAGTTCATTGTAATATTCTTTAAAGTT